GCTAACACAAACACCATTAATTCTGGAGTTAGAGTCCAGTTTGTAGCCCCATATTATGGTAATTTAAATTATCTTTGCCGATATGATAAAGATTGTCTAATTTACTTTTGTCAGACAAGCCTGGGAGATGGTACTTCCACTCTATAACGCAATTCAAACATATTTTGTGTTATTCTTGCTGGAGGGATTCATAAAATTGTAGTCCATTTTTAGGCTGTAATAACCATTTAAGAAAATATGAAATGTGTTCAAGAAATATACTGTGTACCTCTCAACACTAAGAATAGAAGGGTGTACTGAAAATGAAATTGTGAGGCTTTCATTAGAATTACAGTATATAGAAAATACGAATAAAACTCGGGGTATGGGATTTCTTGACATAAGGTATATGTGAATGAAGTTCAGATAGAATGCCAGCGATCTGATCCGTGATTAGGTCAAGTAATTTGATGTGCTGGAAAAACTGTGTTTGATGAAAGTAAAATGTTATTAATAGGTATTCCATGTGAAGTGTGTCAACACAGTGATGTTTTAACATTTAAAGCTGAAAAAGGATGAACTGTTCATAATTGCTGTTAATTTCCCTAAAATAGGGGGATTGAAGGGAAGATATGGAGGGAAAGTAATGGGATATTTTGTGATTCAGTGAACATTGAATGAGATATTGTTAAAAATTAATTTTGAGCTTCAACTCTAGTTATTTCATGACGATGATCCATCATCATTATCCAGTTTTTCTCTTCAATTTGCAAAAGCCGTTTCCTCTTTTCTCTATCCCACTCCATCACCTTGTCTGCATTTTCCATCAAGATTTTTAAATTGTATTTTTATGATCCGTGTGAGTGTCATAACAATATGAAGTTAATGATATTGTAGGCTTTTTCATTATTGTGATGGGATGTGACTTTCTGTGGAACTGGGCTGCTAACAGGCCCATTGTCCATCCCCCAGGTGATACATGAGTGAATATAGAGCTGCAGCAGAATGGTATTGACAGGGGAAAACCAAAGGACTCGGAGAAAATCCTGTTCCAGTGCCACTTTGTCCATTACAAATTCCATATGGACTGACCTGGGTGCAAACCCAGGTCTCCATGGTGAGAAGTCAGTGACTGCCTGACCTATAGCACAGCATGACATGAAAGGATACCAGAGTGACAAGTTACTTAAAATCTTTGTTTTGTTTGTATACATATTTTATATTTCAGTACACTACACAGTGTGCAAGGTTTTAGAACAAGATCTTGTTTCTTGAATATCATTTTGAATTCAGAGGTAAGCTTTGCTGCTAACCTGATTAACAGTTATCAGCCATTTAACACAGCTTATGCAAGGTCCAGGTGGCCATTCATAATAGCAGCACACCACTTAAGTGTGAAACCCAGGAGTTAAATTCTGGCCAGCAACACTAGTATTACAGTATAAATCCCCTATTCCCATATGATCATGGTAAATTGATTACTTCAGAGAACATTGCTTCCAGTGATGTGTAAATTATATATTTGTCTATGTTAGAATTAATGTAAAATATATATATATATAGAGTATGTTAGTAATGGAAAAGGTATGAAAAATGTATGATGCAAAAACATATTCCAGGTTAAGCAGATATCAACATACAATATGAAATTAAATGCAGCAGAAATAGTTTGAAGTGACATTAATATGAAACTAGAAATAAAAATCTTTGCAAAATGATTAGTTAAAATACTGAAAAATTCACAATTCAGTTCATTTATGCACCTTTCTTGCAGTGTGAATCTTCATACAATTTATCTCTTGCAGGTTCTGGGAACAGTTGTACAGTGTACACCATTGCCTGGCTGTTCTGCGTCAGCTTCCTGTCGCTGTGTATGTTGTACTGATGACAGTTCTTCGTTATCATCTGTTTGTGTGGACTGTTTTCTCTCCTAAGTTACTGTATGAGGCCATGCACACTTTGGTGATTTCATTGTTGATGCTACTTACAAATTGCCTTGCCTCAGCTGTTGTAAAGGATATTAAAGTGGAAATGAGATCTTGAGAGAGGAATATTTGTATTCTTCAAAAGTGAAGGTCAATGAAATTATGCCTTAACTAAGCAGGTTCTTGCTGTTGGACAGAAATTAAATTTTAGTTTGTATCAACAAAATCTTTGTATACCCTAAATGTTGCCAATTTACCAGCGGGGCTTGATTTGCTACATCATACAAATGTGCTTCAGCACTGTTGATGTTGACTTCTTAGTTGTGACACCATATGGACTTGCAGGCAGGTACCATTGTTTTGGAGAAGCATATGTCTCTATCTTCAGTTGATTGATACTGTGGCTCTTTGGCATGCTGTTTAGTAACAATGAACTTATGTATGTGTCCTACATCAATTAATCACATGCATCTGTAGCAAACTGTGAAAAGTAGTGGTTTATGAAATGTTTCTTACCAGCTATTTGACCCATAGTAAGCAGCTCATGTTTGCCCAATAATATTATTCACTTCTTCCCTATGAGTGGGTCTTAAAAAAGAAGTGGGGGGTTCGCTGTGCATTATATGATTACTCGCATGTTTTCAGTGACAGCTTTCAATAAAGTAGCCAGCAGACTGCAAAGAACATGAATACAATTGCATTAAATATTTTATGAAGTGCATTGAGGAAAGTGTCTGTGTAGTAATGGTATTAAATTATTTATTTTTATAATATGTAACATTGTACCACAACATAATTATTATTTTCATTACATGATTGTAAATCTGTGAGAATCGCACTGGCTGAGTGGTAAGTTTATTCCTCTTACTTCATTGGAGGCACTGATTGGACTGATATTTGTGACTGAATACATATGCAAGAAATAAACAGTTTCACACTACTTTCACTATAACCTTTTGCCCAGTAAAGGCAAGTGTAATTTATAAGTAGCTCATTAAATGAACCAGCGCTCATCAGTTTCTGATGAAGATCAGTTGCCAGATAGCCAACCTGACCAGCAGATTTTGGCATACCATATGATACAGCTGTGGCAGCCTTTTGTGCTGTCTTCTGAGTTGTAGTGCCATGTAGTCTGGTAGAAGTTTACGAATGTTTCAGAGGTCATTGGTTAACTTCTACCAGACTGCACAGTGCTACAACCCAGAAGACAGCCATCTTCATACTTACTGCAATGACAAACTCAAGCTTTTGTAATATTGTGCTCTGACACATACATAATCATTAATTTTTTACTTGATAATAATTGTCAGTGTTGTAATGAATAGACCAATAAAGGTACAGTGATCTGGAACAATGTCTCACAGCATATACTCTTGGCAACAAGGTTTGACTCCAAACCATAAAACAATGGAATGGTGGAATGAAGGGAGTAGTGGTCACAGGCATGGGGGATCGACAGAATCCATTACAGCCTATGAGATCTTTGCAAAAGCAAAAGAATATTTTCATGGGCTGAACTGTATGAAGCAAGAGTTACTTAAAAGCTGATAGTTGTCGAATTTGTCAAGAAAACCCTTGATCTGCCCTGCTTGGTAGTTAAGGTTATCAGTTTAATCTGGTTCACTTGCTGTTTCCTTGGAGATTTATTTTGATTGTAATACCATTTTCATATTATGATGTGCTCACATCCTTGGCCTGTCTTATGAAGGACCTATGAAATAAATTATATTATCCAATCTGTGCCTAAACATCAGTGTGATGTGAGTACGGCAAAATCACATTAGCTTGTAAGAAAAGTAGCACTCCCTCACTTATAGAATGAGTTTAGATTGAATTCTGTAAAAATTCCGTTTTTAAGTTTTATGAAAGTACCCGATCTTGTGACGTAAGTGCTGACGTCAAGACCACAATGCAATAGGTGAAGAACTTGACTCTGTCTCATTTCGGCTTGTTGGACGCTGGCGTATAGTTGTAATTAGTAGAGAAGGGTAATTTGGCCATGTTTGCAGTTGGGGTTCAATATCTGGCAACGAAAGCATTAAGAAAGGTAAGGTGATTTATTATCTAGTTTCAAAATAATTAAGTAAATGAATCTTGGTTCAATGATGGAGTCTGGTCACGTAAATAATACTTTTCAAGCAATTACACACTTTGAGACGTCACTGAAGAAATTTGCATTACGGAATGAAGTAGGACCTCAGATCGGCATTCAAGATTTTGTAGTAATAGATTTGCACAGATCGCTCTTTAGTTATTTTTGATCGTATAGTGGAAGCCGTTATATTTCGAAACACAATTTCCCTTGAAGTGAATGCGAACAAGAAATTCAAGATGGTTGCCATCTACAAATTTATATCTTTGTATAAATTATGTTTGACCAGCCCTGGTATGGACCACTCTAAATTGACATTTATGCTTCCTTACGAAAATAGTCGCGTAAAACATGTAATCGTATTAAGGGACATGATCACAGCGGTATATCAAGGTTGCACTGTAAATTGTATGCTAAATATTAAAGGTCCATGGTATGGGAACAGTGAGAATTTTATGTGCGAGTCATGACATTATTGAAAGTAAGAATATAAAGTGAACACTGAATTATAAGAGCCATAATTACTGTTTTATTTTGGCGTTCAGAACAAAAGTCAGAAAATAGAGTGTAGTGATATTTGTGCAACTTCTGTTCACTAAAGAGACGTGTACAAGACTTACACAGGCCATAGCAGACAAGCATGAAAATGTGTTCCATTGGTGGACATAGTGTAGTGGAGTGAAAGAACATATTCAGACACATGAGAACTAGTATTATGAAACCAAATTTAAATATTTCAAAACTATTTATAGTGTTACTGCCGAAGAATAATATGTGGAGCTTTATCTCCGTTGTTGATCAAGTATAAAATTGTAATGACTGGCCCCTTGAAATCTGACTGCAGCTGATAGGCTTATTCATTTGCAGAGAGCTGGTTCATCTAAAAAGCAGGAGATGTGATGCTGAGATACAACCACCTGATCTGCATCTGCTCCAGTGAAGACACAAGATTGGTACAGAAACTGAAGGATATGAAGAAGGAAGAACAGGTTCTTGTTGCTGCCGACAGATGTAACAAGGTAAGCAAGCCTATTGTTCTCAGAAACTCTTACAGCCAGTGTCAGAGTGGCATGGTAGCATTTTATCTCAGGGTGACCTGTTGCAAGTTGTTGGGTCAGGATAGCTCACAGGAAAGTTTTTTTTTTTTGTGGGATATGTAACAGTTCTATAAACGTTTAAAGCCATGTCTTTCCAGAAAATCCCATTTCATTGAAAATTTTAATTTCTGTGACAAAACATTACGTAGAATAGCAAAGCTAATAGGCATTTTCACTCGCATATACAGGGTCTAGTCTCACGATAAGTTACATTAATCTGAAGGGATTAGGTTAAAAATCTGGTTGATTTGACGTGGAATGGCGAAGGGGCTGTGTAGAGTGAATTCTGTATTTACTTGAAAGGTAGAAGTGTGAGAACGTAGGTACTTTTTAATTCTGAATGGCTATATTCTTTACCGTGAATAATGTGAGTAGGGACACTGCAAGCATAATGTTTCTGAAACATCAACTCGGTGGTTGTACTACTAATGGTTAGAAATAAAGTTGGTATATCTTCATTTTGTCTTATTTACATATGGCACCCAAGTACCATGTAATCCTTGATCCATAAAGTACCTCAGAAGAGATGTATAAGCCCACCTACAAGAACAGGTTATGCACATCACACCTGCATGAGTGTACCATGTGTGTGTGTGTGTGTTCTATTTCCCAAGTTGATCTTGGGTCCAACAGTGACCCATGTGCACTAGAAGAAATTGAACATGGTAATAGTCTTCATTACCCAGGATTTGTCAGCAGATAGCTACGGCCTTATTTTTAGCATTACATGCAAGAATTCTTTGAAGGTCAAAGATAATAAGAAATCTCTTGCCATTTTTTAGATTCTAAATTGCCAGCCATGAAATATGGAACAAAGTTGTTTGTGCAGAGTACATATTTAAACTTGTAATCCACATGTTCCTGTTTTTGGGGTACTTATTGGTGGAAGTACATTATAAACCCCTATACCCATATAAAAGACCATAATCAGTACCAAGAAAAATTTAAAGCTGTGATAAGTTACATTCATTTGAATCATGGGTATTTTTTGCACAAAGTTTGAGCCAGTTAAATGAATTCTCATATTATCTTCCAGAAAAATTAGGTACATTTTGAGGAAAGAATCGGTTAGTTTGATGGAGGTTTCTTGGTAAGGTGGCACCCACTTCTCCAGAACAGAACACAAAAATTTGCAAACCATTACATCCATTGGTCAGTAGACAAAACCATTAAAAGCCTAATGATTGCAAAACATGGCATACCTTTTTCTGGTATATATATATTTCATGCAGGACATTTTTTCTTCAGTATGGCCAGAATATTACCGGTGTCTGCCATAAAATTAAATTGGTGCAACACTTGGTGTACATATCCAGTATCCTATTTCATCAGAGTCCATTAAGTGGTTTAAAATATGTATGTTGAAGGATGGACTGACTTGCATGCAGGTTCAAAAACAGCATACTTAATTTTTTGGTACATACAGCATAATCAGACACCTAAAACTATTTCAAGCCAAGGGGAAATTTGTGTGTCATTGAGAGACAGGTAGCATGAAATAACAATTTGGTGTTCAAGATTCACATGTTTTTCCAAGTAGAGCTTCCTTTATTAATTTAATGAAAGAAGACATTCATTGTTCTCAAATGTACATGTGTTCATAATAATGGTGTGTCTGTATCATGCCTGAAAATGGGTAAATAATGTGAGTATCAATACTTGCAAGGCAGATCCCACATGAAGAATTGAGTAGCCCCAAAATAATATGGTGGTTGGAATAGCACTCATTATAATGAAACTTGTGTTCTGTGCTAATTATAGAAGATACAAATCAAACTTGTGCTTTTTAATATTTAGTACCTTGTGTGAGTAGAAGTATGACAAGAATGGAGCAGTTGCAATTGCATTGTGGGAGGGAGGAGGGGATGATGGTGTAAGGCCTTGGTATAAAATGTTGACTCGAATTAATGTATTGCTTCTTTACTGTAACTTGTATCGAGCACCACAGCACAAGAATGGGAACACAAAAAAGAATGTTAACTGTTCTACAGAAGTGTTCCAAGTTTCACCACCATTAAGATTATCAGGTTCATTGCCAGAGTCTTCTGATTCTGCTGTCACTACTATCTTCACTTTTCACCTCCCAAGTGTAGTATTAAAAATTTCCTACTGTTTACCCAAAAGACCTTCAGTATTGATGTACTAACATCTGTTTTTTAAGCCTTTTGAAATGGAAGTAAATATTTTGTCAGGAAATTCAACCCTCTGAAGTCCAATGGTAATTATATTTTAGTTGCAATTTTTTTAGTGATATTCAGAATAAATTGCAATTATTACTTTAAACAGCATTACCCTGTTGATCTTTGTAGTGGAAATGGGTTGTTTTTATTGGTGTAGGAATTAAAGTTATGTAGATGAGGTCTTCTAAGGATTAATAATGTCATCCAACTTCAAGGCAAAACTCTTCTTGGCAACCCAGTTCTTGATGATTGCCCAAATGAGCTCTGAAAAAGAGTTTGGCAGAAAATATAACAATTCTTTCACCCAGTAGACTTCAGCTTCAGAAAATAGTCTTTCAAGTTATGTGCACATAAATTTACAGTGTTTGATTAACAGGGATGGTAGCATAGAGGATAGGGTGTGAGCTGGTAATGTTGGAGGTCCTGCTTTCAATCCCACTGGGTTTCCTCTCCCATCAGTAAAATATTTGAGGAAGTACCACAGATTATGTATTTAAATGTGTTATGTGTAATATGTTTATAATATTCAATATCAGCTTTGCTTGAATGCATTCAATGAGGGCTTATCTTTTCCTGGAAGTGTTTGTATTAGTATCAAGTTTATGGAATTATAATTTCCAGCAACAAATGCAGGGTTTGTTTTTCAAAGGCAAATTGTTTATCAGTCTGATAGGACATCTGAAGTGGTTAATAATATAGTTCATAGTATTCAAGTACTGGGATTCTCTCTACATTTTGGCTGATTTCATATGCATCAGCCAAAAAGATATTTTTGTATTTTGTCATTGCTGTTGATGAAGAAGGAGGAGGCTGGTATGTATTGAATATGATGCTTGTGCCTGGTGACCATTTTCCTTAATATGGGCACTCCATTGAAAACAAAAAGTTTTGCTGACAGGTTGCATCATTGATCTGTTCATTGGCAGTGTGTGAAGAGAAAAGTACTTTATTATCAGTGAATTATTATTCAAGTAAATTAAAATGCCGCACTTCTAAATCATGCAAATATATTGCACATACAACAAATTAAATGCACTATTTGTTATAGCTTCTTGAATGGGGTTTGAGTCGATCAGTTGTTTGCATATGGAATTCCTTTCATGTTTGGTTCACTTTGTCATTATGATAGGGAGCATTGTCAGTAACTACAACACTGTGTGAAGTAGATGCAGAATTATTTATTCTTTCAGTCACATTCAGTAATTTATAAAATTCATATTGCTATAATTGACCCTACTCGATGCAACTTGAATCACGTGTGATGTGAAGCGTTTCCCATCATGAGCGTTTATGATGATTATTCTTTGCCGTTTGACCTTAAAGTGTAATTTAGGAAAAGGTCAGTCACACAACATTACTCTCTGCTACTCAGAACAACTTTGACCTTGGCAGTGCATGTTGACATTGAGGGTTGGACATACAGACCTTGTCAAATATATAAGGCTTTAACTCTGCTTAATTTCTGTCTCCTTTCCTGTCTGATTTGTTCCACTGTTGCAACGACTCCACAGTAGTTTGCTGTTCTTTCATCTGCATGGCAAATAGGCAAAATTATACTCTTCCTCCACTGCTTCCTGTTTACATTGGTGATTCATACGATTTATCATCTCCCTAGCCTTACTGTAATGGTTTTGCCCTTTTGACTGCTGAGCATTTTGTAAAGTGTTCAGTTTATACCTCAAACAAATATAAAGTAGCAAACAATAGAAAATAAAGTTGAATT